TTAACGTTTGAAGCACCATTGAACTCATTCTTGATGGCAGTAGCGAGAGCATTGTATGAAAAGAACTTGCAATCTTGCATGTGTTTCATTAAAATAAAAATATTAAATTATTTTGAAAAATAACTTTAAAAAATCTAATCTAATTTTTTCAAAAAATATTTTTTTATTTCCTACTAAAGATGTATCGGAAGTTGTCTAAGTTAGAACACTCGGAAATAAAACAACTTCTTACAGAAGCTAACATAGAAGTAGCAAAACATTACGCGACAAACAAAAAGGCACTCGCTGAAATCCTCAATGACTATAATGGTGCTATAAGCTATGATAGAATTCATGAGTTCATAAAGCCGCAACGCGGCGAGGACGAAGTCCATGCAAGAGCATTTCCTTTAAATGACGTTGCTATTGACTTATATCATAGACGTTCAGTACCTCATGAAGTAAGAAGAGAAATGTTTGACATAACAAATGCAAACGTTGGTGAAACAAGAAGAAGAGACGACACACTGAAACAACAGAGAAGAGAGATGTTTAAAAGTGCTATAGAACAAGTTCGCAAAGCTAACGATGTCATTCGTTCCATTGACGACAAACCAAAAGAAGGTGAGAGATGGTTAAAGAAAGATGAAGAGAATAGGAAGAGAAATGTGAAGTCAGGCAATAGACTCATTGACTTTAACATCGAAGCTTTAGATGAACCAAACAGAGACTACTTACACAAACATTTCGGTAAGGTTTTCATGAGACTCTTAGAGAAAATTAAAATAAACTCACAACAGAGATGGATGGTATGTTATAAACTTGGTGGAAAGTATGAATGTTCTACGTTAAACCTCAATAATATTGGAACATTACTACATCAGCTCTTGAAGGAGAACTTTATATCAGAGATAGAAGCAAATGCTGCAGGTATTGTTGAAATGCACTATGACTTCTTCTTGACAAACATAAAGAATCTTACTGAAATAAAGATGTATGATTTAACAGAATATGAAGGCTTAACGATGTCAGATGTAAAGAAAGGCAAACCAAAAAAGAGACCATATAGAGATGAAAGCACACTGACAGAAAGACAGAAAAGATTTTGAACAGACTTAAGCAAACAGGAGATAAACAAGATAGATGACTTTGGAATGAGATCCTTGGTGAAAAGAAGTTTTATAAGAAGAGAAGCGGTCAGTTCTGGAAGTATCTTTGCACATTACCTATAAATCTTGAACGCTACCAAATCTTCAATGAACTGAACAAAAGAACTGCAACACTTATGACAGAAGACAATTGTTTCGTTTATGCTTGCATTCAGGCTGGAGTAAATGAAGAAACTATTGACCACATGAGAGAAGTCATTCGTGTTAGAGACTTTCCTCAAAGTAAAGTACAAGAAATTTCCGATTCAACAGGTATAGCATTTAATGTTACCATTGGTTATTTCAATGACTCAAGACATAATGAAATAAAGAGATACATACCAAAAGAATGTGAAACTGTTCGAACTATTGACTTACTTCTTGTTGAAGACCACTACATGCTAAATGAAAGATTACCAATGACAACATATTTCATTCGCAACTATATAGAAATCTTGAAGGAGTGTGGTGGAATGAACATTGAGAAACAAATGAAGATTTATACAAAGAGAGAAGATAAATATGTAGTTCGCATGATAGAACACACCGTATGGGATGTTATGAAAACATTGTGGGAGTGCAAATATTTCGAACCTATTTCTTATGGAGAACTTTTCACATATACGACTGACTTATATAAACAGAACCTTGCACCATTTAAAGATTTGACATATGCTCCAAAGTATTGTGTACAACTGAAGAAGAAAGCCGAGTCAAAAGAAGTAAATAAAAATAAGTGCAAGTTCATTCCTGAGCACGTTTTCTTTGCTGACTTTGAGTGTAGCACAGACGGCTTTCATAAAGCTTTTAACATCTGTTATGACAGTGAAGATGGTTCAGTGAGTGAAAGCATTTGGGGTCAGAACTGTGCAACAGAATTTTTGGAGCGACTTCCTGACAAGAGTTTAATATATTTCCATAACCTCAGTTATGATATAAACTTCATCTTAAGACACATGACAGAAGTGAAAGGAACTCCCATCATTAAAGGTTCACGAACAATGCAAATAACTGGCTTATATAAAGGAAGGGCAATTATTATAAAAGACTCTTACAGTGTTATAAATAAGAAGCTTAAACTATTTCCTGCTATGTTTAACTTACAAACAGGACCGAAAGAAGTATTTCCATATAACTACTACAGCAGTGTTTTGTTAGCAAATGACAACAGAACTGGTGTCATTTCTGAAGCATGTAAGTTTATAGATAGATACATTCATGAAAAACATAGATTCCATCAAAGGTTGCAGAATAGATGAAAACCACTTCGATTAGAAAAATATAGCACATTTTATTGCAAACAAGATGTAAGAATTTTAAGAGAAGGTTTTGTTAAGTTCCGCAATGACATATTGAAAGAATTTGATTTAAACGTTATGACTACGTTAGTATTTGTTCAATTGCTAACAAATTATTTGAGAACAGAGTATACTTCCCGAATGGAAATCTTTATGACCTCTCAAATAAACCAAGAGAATTTATTTCACGCTGTATTCAAGGTGGAAGATGTATGCTGTCAGATAACATGAAACAAAAGAGCGAAAAGAAACTCATTGCTGACTTCGACGCTGTTTCATTATATCCATCAGCTATAGCAAGACTTTATACTTTAGAAGGAATTCCAAAGGTTATGAAGGAGAAATGTTAAGCACAGAGTATCTCATGAGACATTTATTCGATGACGACCAAAAGGAACCCATTGGTGAAAAGTTTATGTCTGGCTTCTTTGTTCTCATTAAGATAACAGAGATTGGAATACATAGACACTTTCCTTTAATAGTTTGTGACCCTGAACTAAATCCAGAACTTAACGTTCCCAGAAGTTCAAACACTTGCTGTTAATGTATGTTGACCATATAACATTACAAGACCTCATAAAATATCAAGGTGTCAAATGTGAAGTGTTGCAAGGATACTATTACGATGGAAACAGAGATATTAGAATAAGAGATGAAGTAAAGAAGTTGTTTGAGTTAAGGTTAAAGTATAAGAAAGAAGGAAATCCTTTGCAAGAAAATATAAAGCTCATTCTGAACAGTATTTATGGCAAAACTATTCTATCTCCTATTGAGTCAAAAATAACCATAGTAAATGACAAAGATGCTATAAGATATGCCATCAGAAACTACAACCATATAGTGAAGTTCGAAGGTTTGGATGGTTCAGATAAAACTATTTTCAAGCTAACGAAAAGCATTTGCAGACACTTTAACTTCTGTCCACTTGGTGTTAATATTCTATCTATGTCGAAGAGAATAATGTGTGAAGTATTCTGTACTGCTGAAGACTTAGGAATGGACATCTTTTATAGCGATACCGACAGTATGCATCTCTACAATGAAGATATCCCTCGTTTAGCTGAAGAGTTTGAGAAACGTTATGGAAGAGTTCTCATTGGTAAAAACCTTGGTCATTTCATAGCGACTTTGCAGAAATAACACCTGGAAAACAAAGTTTAGCATACAAGTCAATATTTTGTGGAAAGAAGACTTACATAGACTTACTCACTAACGATTTAAATGAAGTTGCATTTCACTGCAGAATGAAAGGCGTGAAGCAAGATGTTATTGCTTTAACCGCTAATGAAATGTTTCCTGACTCTGTTCAGTGTTTCTATGATGAAGATAAAGGTTTAATGGTTCCGCAAGGAACATTGACAAAGACTCTGAGTTCAGTTTAATGAAACTTTACAAAGCACTTCATGATGGTCAAGAGATTGGATTGACTTGTGTAAGTCTTCTAGTCCTTGCTTTGCTGAAAAGTTTAACTTCTCAATAACGACTAAAACAAGCTTTATTCGTAAGTTGAAGTTCTGAGGTCATTTATTTTTGTCAGCAATGAGGTCATTCGTGATAAAAATAAGCCGCTAGCGGCAAGGGCGAAGCCCATGTGGTCATTTACAATACTGCGATGGTAGAGTTTAAGAGTTGTGCTTCAATGTAGAGACAGTCCTTATGGTCTGGAGGTAAGAACACTGGGCAGTTATGGTCATGAGTGGAGAACATGTCTATCCAAAACTCACGATTGAAGCCAGTTAATTTATAGTATTTAGGTTAGGAAGTGGTGAAGTTCTTGTATGACCAATGAACTCATTTTCAACTCCCTTACTTAAGTTTGAATATAATATAGCTTGCTTTCTATCCCAAATGCCAGGTGTTACAATCTTTGAAAATTCATTTTTCCTCGGAAGCATTGCATCATAATTGAAAACATTCTTGAAATCTTCATTGGGTTCAGAGATTTGAAACCTTATACGTAATGGATTTTCTTTCTCTTTAGCTACTTCATTGAATGGTGAATATATAACAAACTGACAGTCATGAGTTCCATCTTCATTTTCATTAAATTCATAATGAAAGTCTATAAGTTGTGGCTGACTACCTTCTTCTTTCAGTTGTGCAAGAAACTCACGTAAAGGCTGTAAAGTTTGTACTTCAATGTTGAACTTTTTCTCGAACATCTCATTAAATGAAATCATACATTGCAACAATGTTGTATCGTCTTTAAAGTATTTGTATATGTGAATGTTTTGGGCGCTTAAAGACTGTTCGTCATTTTCTATCTCGACTTGAAGTATAAAGTCAACCTTTCTGAAAGCACGTGTTATATACATAGATGTTATGCCAATGTACTTCTCTTCATTTATGTTCACAATCCAGTCTGTTGGAAACTTAAACGTTACTCTGTTCCCCTTTATTTTGACGTCAGGGTTTTCACTACTGAACGCAACAGATAAAGGTATTTGTCTATACATTTAATTCGGATAAAAATAAACCATTTACTCTTTCTTTGCTTCAGCTTCTTTAGCTTTTGCTTCAGCTTCTTCTCTAGCTTTCTTCGCCAGCAAACGTGGGTTCTTTTGTCTTCCAGCAGCTAATGCAGCAAGTTGTTTTTCACTAAGTTTTCTCTTTGGTCTCTCTGGCTTTTGTTCTTGTTTTTGTTCCTTCAGTTCGGATAAAATTTGCTCGCGAATTTCTTTCTTCAATGCTTCAACATCTATGACCCCTTGGGTCTTGTCCGTAGGACTTGTCTGAGTCATTTGACTGCAGATAAAAAACAAAATTAAAACTTTAACCGATGTAAAATGAGCTTGTCAAAATCAGAACGAGAGTCTATTATATTAAATGACGCAAGAGGAATACAACATCCTTTCTATTACGTAAGTCAGAGTAAAGATGGTAAAATATACGTAAGAAAAAGAAAGGTTCCATTAGCGAATGCAGAAAGCGACAACATTAAGGTGTATGGCAAGGGTGAAGTCCACGAAGCCCATATAAAACCTTCTATTCAAACTGAAAAGTCAATAGAACCAGAAGAAAAGAAGCCAGATGTACTTTCAATAACGAACCAAGAGCTTATTGCAAAGTTCGTGAATTTCATTGAAAAGCAAACCGAGTCAAAGAACCCTGACCCACCAGTGAAAGAAGTTGAGACAAAAGAGAATGTACAGTTCATTGAAAATGTCAAGAAACAACTTCCACCACGAATGCCAAGAAGAAGAGTGAGAATAATGAAGTAAATAGATATTTTTATCCGAAGTAAATACATGCAGAACGAACAGTTAAACGAATTTACTCCAGCAGAGCATATTCATCAGATTCGCTCATATTTCGATATCATAGACAATGCAGTTCAAATTGGTGACACTAATAGAAAATATTCTGACGCAAAGATTCCATCACAACCTGGAACTGCTAAAGATAACACATGGGTAACATTCAATCTCTCACCTCCTGGTGAAAATATGTTGGACCTTTACAATACATTCATTACGTATAAAATGGAAGGTCAATTTATTGTAGATAAAGAAATTGGTTCAGGTTCCAATAAAACAAACCCACCAGGATTTTGGATTGGTTTTCGATGACGCTTTCTATGCAGTTGCTGGATATCAAATCCTTGCAAATGGTCGTATCGTATATTCTCAAGACAACGCAAGAGAAGAAGCATATATATACTTCAAACTCACAAACTACGCGAACAAATAAAGAAAGTAGATGTTTTCTCAAAGACTCGACATGAAGATGTATGGAGTCATTCGGGAACATGCAGAACAGGACAAATTGTTAGTGGTCCAATTACAACAGGAAAATCATTTGATTTTAAGCTTCGTTTAAGAATTCCTGTTAGAAGATTCCTTCCATTAGAAGCTATTCGATTTATTCCAGCTTTTGCAGGAAACGTTCAGCTTAAAGTAAAGTTCAGTAGCGACGCCTTACAATGCACATCTATATCTGTAAATGATATCGTTGCTTTCAATCCAACTCTTAAAGTTGCATTTGCTTCAGATTCAAATCCACCGACAAATAAATTTGTTCCATGGAATGAACCATTCACTATGATAACGAAGGCAGTAGAAGCTAGTGGAACAGTTACTATTACAACTGTAACCCAGCAACTATTTCGAACAAAGATGGATTTTAATGAATGTTTCATTCATCCAAAGTCATTCTCTTTAGACCCTAACATTTATACAGAACTTGTAGAACATTATACAAACGAGGCTTTATGTTTTCCTGTTAAAGTTATGGATTGGATTCCTATGGACGGTTCATTCTCAAAGAATACAGATAGTTCAAGTGCAACATTTACAGCAGCTTATACGCCTATTAATGTTAAAAGTATTTGGGCACTATTTAGAAAGAAAGACAACTATTATGTTAATTTTGAGAACCCTAAGTTTAAATATCTTCAGCTTTCCATGGGAGCTTATGGAAATATGCCTGCAGAACCTGAAAAATCATATGGACCTGTATTTTATGAAATGGTTGCGAACGCTTGCAATACAAACAATGATATGATTGGATTTAATGAAGATGTTATGAGGTCATTGGTGGATGATGGTAGTGTGGAACATAAATGGGATAGCTATGACAACACACATTTCTTATGTGGTTTTCCAACAGAAGTGGACTTTTGCTTCCAGCAAGGTCAAACATCTACTGCTCCAATAACATACAAATTGTCTGTTAAAGGACCTATTGAACTAGCAACTGAAAACGTACCAAAGCCACTTATTGGATTTATGAGGGATTGTTGCTTTGCCATTCAGGTGCGTGCTAATGGCATCCCCATAATAAGATTAGATGACTATAACTTAGCTACGGACGACGGTGAGGAATAAAGGATGAACGTTTATTTTTAAAGCTTATAAATGAGTTCTTCATCAAGCTCTCGTGAACCTTCACCATCTGTGAAACAAACTTTACCAAACGATTATGGAGCACCTATTGAATATTTCTTACGAGCTGCACAATGGCAAAGAGCAGTCTCACCAAGGTTAGGTGTTCCACCAGCTCCTGTCAAAAATAGCATTTGGTCAAGTCCTTATATAAAATATGGTCTCCCAATAGGTTTGCTAGCTACAGCAGGAGCAGTAATGATGTTGAAAAGAAATAAAGCAAATGTTGTAAATAATACTGAAGTAGCTGAAGTTAAACAAACTCCAACACCTTCGCCAAAACCAACGCCTTCACAAGCAAAACCTTCAATGACTCCTGAACCTATGGAAGTACAAACTCCTGTTCAAAAGTCAACTCCTAAACCGACTCCAACATTTAAACCAGAACCTACTCCTCAAATAAATCGTAAAACTCCTGCGTTTCCTTACTGAAAAAATAACGTTATTTTTATTTAATATTAAAATTTTTATTTGATTGAAATGACAAATAAAGTCACTGAAGCAATGAAACAAAAGTTTTTGGTAGAATACATTAAATCAGGAACTATTCCAGAAGGTTTTTACGTTCATACTATGAAGGATGGTAGAGTTCAGTTTAGAAAGATAAAGCAACCATTAGATAAAGAAGGAATTTTGAGAAAGATTAAACTTCATGAGGACAACATTGCTGAACTTAGGAAGAAGTTAGAAGAGTTGGATAAAGGAAGAGAGTTATAAAGCAATGAATTCAACAGGGTAGAAATGAGGGTAGAAATGAGGTTAGATCTACCCTTCTACCCTAAATTTATTTTTGCGCTATGTTTTCATACGTGTGAGGGTGGTGATATCATTAATTTTTATTTTATTTTTATTTTATTTTTATTTTATTTTTATATAAATGACGAAAACTATTGAGATAACAAACTACAACGGTCATGAGTTCAAGAATTTGTTCTTCGTTCCTCGTGAAAATACATTCTATCAGATACGAGGGAGAAAGGGTAAAGTTAGTTTGAGCGTTTATGACTACAAGCATAATGGAAAGTTTATACAAGCATATGATACAAACGGTAAGCGTGTTTCATTAGCTTTGTCAAAACTTACTAACATTTATTTTGACATTGACTTTGACCTATATGAAGAAGAAAGTGAGTCAGAAGATTATGAGCTGTTATGTGAAGCACAGCAATGGGAGGAGTTGCAATACTTTTGTAAGTGAGAACGTTTATTTTTTACATTAGTGAGGTGAAGTGGTTGGCGACTTTGTAAATATTTAAGGTTAAGTTAGTGTTGTCGTTTGTGTTGTAAAATATACGTTAACGGTTTCGTAAAGTGTCAAATTCACATATAATGGGTAAGGAGGCGCGCAGTGCCGCCGTACCCATGATATGTATACTAACTAAAAGTTATCATATAGTTGATCTCATTCACTGAGGTGAGAGATGCATGTAGTGTAATGGGATAAACAGTGGGATTGCTGCTCTAAGTCCTAGGTTCGAAACACATTGGCTTCATTTTTCTCTTTTTTATTGACGTAAACTATTCAATTTTTGTGTTCTCCATTCAAATTTCAGAATTTTTTTTGCAGATTTCACGCTACATTCGAAGTTACCTTTTGTAACAACCACCACTGCCTACGAAAGACGAAAGTGTGTCACGATTTCACCCGGAAATCCGACGGTTGTTTAAGAGTAAGCACTTTTGGCACCTACTCTATCGAAAAATCAACATTTAAGGTTAATTTAAGAGTATGCACTTTTGTCACCTACTCATTTTCAGAAGAGCCTTAACGGCTAAGTTTTATGTTTAATGTTGAGTATCAAAAAGAATGGGCGTCTGATATAGCCATCATATATCCCAGAAGCAAATAAAAATTCTGACTTTCTAAGCATAAAAAATGAAATTTTATTTTTTGCAAAAAACAGGCCACCCGGATGTACGTTTATTTGAGAGGAGGAGGATTAAATTTTTGAAAGCAGTAAAATTTGTAAATATACTAGTTATATAATAATATGTATTATTTTAAAAAATAAAAAATTAAAGCACGTTAAAATCTTTTTTGATGAATTTTTACAAAAGCTACTTAGGATTATGCAAAATATTAGTAATTAAACATAAATTTCAAATCAGATTTTACTTATGATAAATATTTTAAATTTCCGAAAATTAAGTTCAGATCGACTCTATACGTAGTAATTACTAAATAAGGTGCCAAAAACCTATTAAACAGTATCAAAACTATCAAGATTGTAATGTTTTTGAAGAAAAATTTATAGAATTATGAACTTCAAACAGATATTATGTAAATAAAAATAATATAATGGATTTGTTTATTCGTATAATAGCAGCAATAAGTCGATTATTCACTTCTACTTCTGAGATTTGAATTTAATTTCGACAGAAAAAGAGATTCAAGAGGAAAATACTAGGGAATACAAACTGCCACCATGACAGGATTATTATGGAGCCAAGTTGTACTTTTTGATATTTTTAGAGTTTTACTACCTATTTAGGTACCAAGTAGTTGCTTAAAAATTAAGGTTCTAAATTCTGAAGTTTACATGATCCTCCCGGGCGCACCCTTAATGCAAGCATGATTGATTCAAAGATAATTTCAAGAAATGTAGAGAAATTGTTAGTAACATTCAAAAAAAAAAAAAAAAGGTAGTGGGGCTTCCAGGCACTTCGTGCCCTCTAGCCCCGAAGATGTTTAGTATAAATGAAGTTTATATTCGGAGGACTCTTCTTCTTCCTCCATTGCTTCTGGGAAGAAGCCTTCTTCTGGGTCGAAAACATTATATAATGTGTCGCTTTTCACAAATTATATATGTTTTCATGTTTTGTCACTTTTCTGTCACTTTTCAGGTAAAAACATTTTT